GATGAATAAGATATCGTTCTTATGTCTTCTGGTTTGTGTTTTCCCGTTAAGTGGAGCACGGGAGTTGAATTCTTATTGGCTTGAAGCATGAAGGACAAAAGAGTCAGGGAAGTAATACAAGTCAGTGGAGATACGCATTCCCTCTCATTGTCTTACACTCGCCCACTCAGTCCCTCATTAGCTAACTGCGATTTAGCTCATTTGCCATGGAGAGAGTTTAAGTTCCCTGGAGTGTTGTGTGTTCCCAGAATGTCTGACCTTAATTTAATTCTGTGTTGCTTAAAATTAAAGTGAAATGACACTGTAATTGGTGCTTTGTGTTATAACAATGACGATATGTATGAGATTATAATTATATTTATTTTTCCCATTGTATTACTTATGTGTATAATATATCTTATTCCCATCCCTCCGTTGTGTTATTTGTGCACATTCATTTGTTTAAACCCGTAGGTGTCATACAGCATTTGGGTAATGGGAGGTAATCGGTTTTATTCCGAGAAAGCGGAGGCTACCTCCCACTGATTGGATCAAGAACCCTTCACTGGCATCAAGCAATTCCCATTTTCAAGGTGTACTTTCATCAGCTGTAGTGCACCATTAGTGACCAATGGTCATACAAATTTATACTCATGATCCCCGTGGCCAGCAATATTTGCCAAGAATAAAGTCAGACTTTGTAGTAAACACTGGAAAACGAACACCTGATCAGTAATTGGTTGGTAAAGAATAAAGTCACTTGTATGTGGGATGAGGAAAGAACCAAGTGATGCATTGTTGGGGTCACTCTCCAGAGGTCGGTCGGTGGAGCGTCACTGATCAGCAGTGAACAACAGTACCTGTTACAGTCAGACTGACAACATTATCTGTGAAACGGGGCAAAAAGGAGAACATTTATTTTAAACGAGACAAAATGAGAACACTTGTTCTAAACGAAACAAAGTGAGAACATCTGTACTAAACGAGGCAAAACGATAGCACTTGTTTTATAAGGGAAAACCAAACTAGAACACCTGTTATGAAGGGAAAACCAAACTGGAGCACTTGTTCACAAGGAAAAACACCACATCCTACAAGGTGCCTTTGAGTCAATCAGCAGCGAACCAGTTTTGGGCAACCATTCCCTTGGGAGATCCATCATATAACATACAGGAGGTAAGCCACCGAAGAGTAATAGTGGAGGTTCGATCCTCCGGCAGCTAAATGCGTCACGATTTCTCAATAGTCAACCCGCTGGTGATCCCCTGTCACTTTATGGATGCTTCATCCTGGAACACCTCAAGAATGGTCCTCCTCAGTACTATGTAAATTCGTATTATGAGGTGCAATGTGACTCCCCTGAGTATAAGAAAGCCAAGTTAAGCTTAAGTCACGAGGTATTATATACTTCATGAAATTTTCATGAATGGATACGAATGGTTTTTGGGACCTGACGAACTGTTGGTGTGAGCAGGGTAATATGTGAAGGGATTCAGGAAAACCGGTTAGCCGGACTTGAGTCCTGGAAATGGGAAGTACAATGTCTGCACTTTAAAGGAGGGGTTTGGAATATTGGCAGTTTGGAGGGACAACTGAACTGTTGTATCTGAGCGCCTCTGCAAAGACAGTTATTATATACGAACGATGGTGACAGTGTTGAATGATGAAAGATTTTTTATTTTGGGGTTTTCTTTCTTTTTGAGTCACCCTGCCTCGGTGGGAAACGGCCTACGTGTTATATTATATATATATATATATATAATTATTTTTATATTTTATATATATATATATATTTTTTATATTATATATATATATATATATATTATGTTATTATATAAAATACATTTTTTTTTCAACAAGTCGGTGTCTCCCCCCGAGGCAGGGTGACCCAAAAAAGAAAAAAAAATCCCCAAAAAGAAAATACTTTCATCATCATTCAACACTTTCACCCACTCACACATTAACACTGCTTTTGCAGAGGTGCTCAGAATACAACAGTTTTTGAAGCATATACGATAAAGATACACAACATATCCCTCCAAACTGCCAATATCCCAAACCCCCCCTTTAAAGTGCAGGCATTGTACTTCCCATTTCCAGGACTCAAGTCCGACTATATGAAAATAACCGGTTTCCCTGAATCCCTTCACTATATATATATATATTATATATAAAATATATATATATTATATATATATATATTTTAATATATATATATATATATATATATAAAAATTTTTTATATATATATATATAAACAATTAGGCCGTTTCCCACCGAGGCAGGGTGACTCAAAAAGAAAGAAAAACCCAAAATAACGATAATTTATAAATTGCCTTAGCTTAAGGACTTGAGTATATATTCGTCGCACATGACCTGATGAAAAAAAATATAAATACAACACACGTTACAGTACTGAGCAACTAGTAGATATCTATCCATACAAGGATCTATATTTAGGTCAATTTCTTACATGTGCTCTATTTTAAAATACAGGAAATTCAACAATTTCAGTGCAGACATGTGCAGCGAGAACACACTATCTTTCCGCATTGTCCGCGCCTTTTACCCAGCACTTCTCTTATCTTTCCAGCTGTTGGATTCTCTTCAGGAGAAATGTTTCTTCCGGTCCATTCAGGTGCCTCTTGGAAGTCCTCTTCAGCTCATCATCATCCACAAAACAACTTCCACGCAGATGATTCTTCAACTTTAGACTGGCTTAAATCCCTCCGTGCCAGGAATGGGGGACAGATGAAGAATTATTTCCCATAAATGTCATTAGATGACAGTGTTAAAGTGTGTGTGCTGGCTTGCTCTTATTTAAAAGCGTATTTACTTAATTTTCCAATTAACTATTATTTACCTCTCGCATTATACGAAATCTCTGCATGTTGACATGTGACTACCTCCGTATGTGGGATGTAGTCACAAAATATCACAACTTTAGGCTTCGGGAAACAGTATACGTGATTTTGCTTGAAGAAAGCTGGTACTTGAACATTTGTGTCAAGATTGTCATGATTGCGTGCGGCCAACAGTAACAGCCTGGTTGATCAGGCCCTGATCCACCATGAGGCCTGGCCACAGACCGTTGATTCCCGAAACCCTCTCCAGGTATACTCCAGGAAGTCATCAGAGGGTCCATCTTCGTACAAATAACTGAAGAATTTTT